TTAAAATGGAAATGGGCAATCAAAGAAAGAAATATCATAGAAGAAAAGTGGAATTTACTTGTGTAACTCATGAACAACTGACTGACTGACCGAACAACACTTGTTTTTTATATACATCTTTATTTTGTGTCAGAGTTATAAGCTATTTACTTTACATTACTAATTGATATACAGTTAGTGATAGAGTAAACACCACATACAATATGCAGAAATACTGAAAAAAACTGTAGATGTAAATACAAAATGTAAGGGGTGTTGCAAAATAAAAACACTTTTTTTCCCCGAGAGCATAACAAAGTAAAATAAGATTTTAATTCAATCAAAAAGTAATTCCAAGTATCAATATCACTTGATTGGGCCACCATTGTTCTCACGCACAAGTTTTAATCGATTTGCAAAAGATTTCAACAATTCTGAAACTTTTGAGGCATTAATTGGATTTTTCAAATCTGGCATTGCGATGTGTCGATTGGAAGACTTGAATTATCAGAGCATGTCTGCGACTAGTTTCTGAGCCATTCCAAAGGCAGCACATGCGACATGATCCTGAGTTCTAGTGACAGCTATGATTCAAAAGTTTTCACAAAAAATGAAATTCGAAGAATCAAACACCCAAAAGTACGTTGAAATGAGGTTTCCTCATGATTGATGATATTCGCGGTCCTACCAAGTTCATCATTACTTCGGGGGAAAAAAAAGTGTGATTTATTTTGCAACTCCCCGAACGAAAGCATTTTTAGTCTTTACATGATCATCACGAACTTGTTAGAGTTTAAAATCAATATGATGGTATAGTCACAAGAACCAACATTAATTTCAGCCAGTAATTTCTGAATTAATTTTAAGAGATATCTTCATACTTCAGGTGGCTGTTAATCACAAAATCTTTTAATAATTTGTCCTATTAGCATATCAACAGACATAAATACATATCTTGTCTGATATGGTTTTACTTCAGTTTTTGTTCCAACATCTTTTCCACAACCTGCACAACTGTTCTCTGCAGTATGTATTATTTGATACATTTTTAAATCACTTTGTTTAATATTCTATTACACATAGACCACAAATGTATAGTTTATAGTTATAGTTACTTCAAAATTATTTTT